GAGTTAAAACACTAGATTAAGGAAATTTAAAAGATAGACTTAAGAAAAGGAAGACACCCCATTGCTTTTAGTGGTAGAAAAAAATTTAAAAGGCAAACTTCCAAGGCAATTTACAAATTTAGTTTGATCCCTAGCAATTTACTCATGATATTTCTCACAGAACTAGAACAAATAATTCTAAAATTCACATGGAATCACAAAAGACCGAAAATTGGCAAAGCAATACCAAAAAAAAGAATGAAACTGGAGGAATAATCCTCCTAGACATCAGAGAATACCAAAGAGCTACAGAAATCAAAACAGTATGCTTTTGGCACAAAAACAGACACATGGATCAATGAAAGAGAATAGAGAGCCCAGAAATAAACCCACAGGGCTACAGTCAATTAGTCTTCAACAAAAGAGGCAAGAGTAAACAATGGAGAAAAGACAGCCACTTTGGCAAGTGGTGCTGGGAAAACTGGACAGCAGCATGTAAATCAATGGAGTTAGAACACTCCTTCACACCATACACAAACATAAACTCAAAACTATTCAAAATAGTATTGGAAGACCTAGCCACAGCAATCAGATGAGAAAAAGAAATAAATGGGATCCAAATTGGAGGAGAAGAGGTAAAACTGTCACTATATGTAGATTACACGATATTATCTATAGAAAACCCTAAAACCTCCACACAAAAACTTAAAGACTGAAATATCAGGCTAAACAAGGTAAACATCCTAGAAGAAAACAGGCAAAGCATTCTCTAACATAAATCTTAGTGATGTTCTCCTAGGGAAGTCTAGACAGGCAATAGAAAGAAAAGCATAAATTAACAAGGGGGACCTAATTAAACTTTTACGCTTTTGCACAGCAAAAGAAATCATAAGCAAAACAAAGTGACAACCTACAGAATTGAGAAAATATTTGCAAATGATGCACCTGACAAACATTTCATTTCCAGAGTATATAAACAGCTCATACAACTTAATAACATAAAAACAACCAAATCCAAAAATAGTCAGAAGACCTAAACAAGCAATTCTTCAATGAAGATATACAAATAGCCAATAGGCACATGAAAAAATGCTCAATGTTGCCAATTATCAAAGAAATGCAAGTCAAAATGAAATGAGGTTATCATCTCATCCCAGTTAGAATGGTCATCATTCAAAAGTCCACAAAGAATAAATTCTGGAGAGGGTGTGAAGAAAAGTGAACCCTCC